CACATTCAGACACTGACACATCAGAGGCAATGAGGGGTTCAGTGTCTTGTCCAGGGACACTTCAACATGTGACTGCTGGTGGAATTGAACCCCCAACTCTACCACTGGTGGACGACTGCTCTAACCACTCAGCCACAGCCACCCCTTAAAAGAGTAAAGAGCTTTGAGCTCTGGATTAGATAGAAAGGCTCCATATAAGTCCAGTCCTTTACCTGTTGGCACCTTGTCTCTTCAGGTGAGAGCTCAGCTAGATGAGGACAGGAACATCACAGCGCTGGTCCCCAGACAGTCTCTAGAGGTCCATGAGACTGTGGCAGAATGCATGATCTACGCTAACTGCTGGGTGGCACGCAAAATCCAGGAAGCTTTTCCCCATCATGCCCTGTTGAGGCGCCATCCACCGCCCCGACAGGAGCTGTTCAGCCAGCTGGTGAACACAGCAAAGGCCAGGGGGTTCACCATTGACACCAGGTGACCGAGTGGCAAAACAGTGAGGAAGTACATCTAAACTCCTGTTGGCTTATCCCAAAACCACCAGAATGTCATGAAATGTCAGTTTGATCCTGCAGCTTGTTATTCTCCAGACAGCTGCAGCTCTATCAGAGTCATTCATAAATATTTGTTATTTTTTTAATCCGTCCAGAGGACCTGACTTAACTTTGTTAGAATTTTCTACCTGGATTATTGAGCAGCATCAGGATGTGAAGAAATAAGACATATTCAGTTTCATTTTCAGTTCAGTTTATTTCAACAGCACAAAGTCACAACAGAAGCCGTCTCAGGGACTGAACAGAAACATTTATCTATAAAATAATAATTGAACATTATTTATCTGAGGAGCAGCTTTGAGTTTAACTCCATCACAGAACTCTCATCTTGAACAAGCATGAAGGCGACAGTGGAAAGAAACAAGAGGAAGAAACCTTTAGCAGAACCAGGCTCAGGACAAGAGGATCATCTGCTTCGACCGGCTGGATTTGAGAGGAACAGATACACAATGGCAGGTCAAGAATCACATGTTAAGATAGAAATAGTATCAAATGAAAACTATTCATAGTTCACACACACGTGACCGGTATTGTGCAATACCGGGTTTTCCGCCATTTGTTGAAGCGCATGTGAAGAAGATGAAGAAGATGCTTACAGACAGACCAGAGCTCAGTATGTTGATGCTCTTGACCAAGAGCAAGATATAGACATAAAATAGCTGCGGTCCCTATGAGATGGAGAAAGAAATGATGTCAGAGGAAACAGACAAGTTGTCACCGAGAAGTTACTTTGATATCGTTAATTATTAATGAACACGAGGAGTGCTACAACAGAGGAGCTTCACAGGTTTAAATCCAGGGATGCTTATAATCAATGATGGCTTTGTGAAGGACATCCGAACTCTTCATGTTAACAAAGTTCTGGTGACTGGCAGAGTAAGTAGTTACAATAATATACACGTAGATGTCCCTCATAGCTACATGCTACATCAGCTAAACTAATCTGTGCTACATTAAAGATGGCTGATCTTTAATGTAGCACAGATTAGTTTAGCTGATGTAGATTATGCTACAGTAAATGTCAGTGATCTTTAATGTAGCACAAGCTACAGTAGCTTACTGAAGCTAGTTACAGTAAACTACTTCAGTTTACCTGACGTAGCTTGTGCCAGAGTAAATATCACTGATTATTTCTCACATTACTACATTATTTATTTTGCCTATGACTGCCTTTCATACTTAAATTAGTGGTAACAAAATAAATCATGTGTAATTATTGCTCATAGTATTTAACGTGCTACAGTAAATGTCACTGATATTATTTATTTTCCACTATGACTGCCTTTGTTAATAAAGTTAGTGATGTGAAGTTTATTTTATAGATAAACTTTGTAAATGAGACTTGAGATCTTAGTTATAAGCAACACGCAGCAGATTTATTATTTCCTTTGCAAAGGGAGAACAGCACGGCTTAAGGCTCAAGAAGTTCTGAAGAACACATCAGTGAATATTTCATTTATACAGTCCTTCGCACGCACAGGGCGTTCAAAAATTTCACTCTTCATGAGTCATGTGCCTTAAGGGCTTACTGGAACAATACAAGGTGGGACAAACAAGTTCTTTTAGGCAAAACTGGTTTCTGCTTAAGCTATTTTGTGACAGTAAACATGTTTTTCTGTTGCAGGTTCTTGTTTCCTCATGAGGTGGCAGTTGAAATGAAGAATGAACAAAGATAATACATTAAATGATATTAAAATTATTAAATATACTGTTTTTCTTCCTCAATTTCCTCCCTTTTGTTCCTTCCAAGGAACAACAAAAATGACACACAAAATCACAATATTATGTGCAACAGGTAAGACACTGATAGGTAAACCTTCATCAAGACACATGTGGCATGAAATCACGGTTGAACATGAGCCTTTCATAAAATCAGCTGGAAATGACAAGAGCTGTTTCTGTAGGGGACAGAACCCTTGTGTGTGTGGCATAGCTGAAGATGAGATGAACACATGGTATTTGAACACAAAATGAATATAAAATGAATGAAAATAAAAGTGTTAAAAAGGTGATAAAGGTGAGTCTTTCTTGGTACCCTTGTCCTGTAAACGTAAAGTCTGAGGTTTGGAGCCTGAATCCCCACTGTTGGACTGCTTCACAGACTAGGTTTAGGAAATCTAATCTGGTGGTGACCTTGGAAAGTGTGGTTTATTTGTGTTCCCTCTATGTCATAATGTAAGAACAGCTTATCTTCAGGGGTGTCGGTGTCAATCAGTAAAGTTGCTTTTTCTAATTGAGGGTCTTTGTCTTGGATAAATAAGAGAATACGCATTTTAAACGTTCTTCAGGATGAATGTGTCCTTTGCGACTGTGTGTGAGGGGGCAGGCTTATCCTTTTCTGACAGTAAAGATGTTTCAGAATCATCTTCAGAGAGGAGTTGGTCTTGTAGGTGTTGGGTAAGGAGAGCATAAGTTTGAGCTGCACGTTCTGGGGAGAAAGCGGTTGTGATGATTCTGGTAGATAAGGATCAGAGGCAAGGGATGCAACAGCATCCACAGACTGCTAAAATGGCTAGGCCTATTCCTAGAGCCATAAGGAAAGACATTATATACCTTTCCACCTGCCAAAACCTTCTGAGAACCATTTTGAAATAGGGTCTGTTACCCCTGAGGCATCTTGTATTTCTGTGGACAAAACTTTCAGTCCCTCTAGGGCTCGTACAACTTTACCATCAGGTGCTGTGTTGTTTGGGATGTATGTACAGCATTCGTATCCTACCATATGGCAGACTCCACCCTGTTCTACTAGTAGCATGTCTAGTGCCATTCTGTTTTGGATGGCCATTTTTGAGGTGGGTCTGAGTTGATCTGCTAGTCCCTCGATCACATCTCTTGTCAAGTTAGTAAGACGGAGGACATTATAATGGATGAAATTAATTCTAGCAACGTTTTTGTTAATTGTAGCGTAGGGGATTAGAGATTCATAGGCTGACCAGATGGGGCTGGCTAGTTTATACTCATCAGGGACTCCTTGGGGTACCCCTATGGCATTTATGTACGTGGGTGAGCTCTTAGGGTCAAAGTCAGTGGACCGACAAGTTCTATGACTCGTGGGCTTGTCAGATGGGAGTCCAACTAGGGTTAATGGTGCTATAAGGTGTACAAAAGTACACAGGCCTATTGTCCTTTGGGGAATTTTTACTACTAGTCTTTGACCTCTGCAATAGTAATACAATCCTACCCTTGCCCATGTTCCCATGAGCTGGGTGGTCTCTTTGTCTGTTGAGACTGGCGTGGTGACATTACACCAAGTGTGGTCTATGTTTCCATAGCTTTGTTTGGGGTTTGTGGCTGTGAAATAAAAACAATGGTACCCTCCCATGATCATTCTAGGTTTAAATGAGCCTGGGTGGGTTTTATTATGAATGGGTGGGTATATGTCACTAAGGGTGGTGCAGTTGGGGGGAGAGCCGGTTCTAGTTATGTTAATCATACAGTTGTATCCCCATGGATCGTTTGGGAATAATGGGGCGGGTTGGGTAACTAGCTTTGGCCTTGCTGCTGCACAAGCTACACAGTTGCTAAGTTGGGCTTCTCTTGCAGCTTCATTAAGCCAGGAGAACCACATGTTGTCATCTCCATGTCCTGTTGCCCTCTCTATTAGATCTTCTGGGCTAAGTTTGGTATAATCTACTGATATGACTGGTATTGTTTCGGTTGGGGGGGCTAGGTCGGTCTCGTTAGTTGCAGACGAGGTCTGGGGCTGTGGTGTGTTGGCTGGTTGTACAATGTGTATAAAAAAAGCATCCTATTGGGTCTGTACCACTTATGTCTGCTCCTGAGGCAAAAGCGATCGTCCTGCTATCTGAGTAGAATTTGCATGTACCCGAGATATCCCTCTTGTCTTTGGAGAGACAAGGGTTGGGTGCTGGGGGAGTAAGGAAATGGCCAGGAATGGATAGTGAAATGGGGTTAGCACTTGGGTTACTGGAATAGTCTCTTTGGAGGGTAAGATTTTGTATCCAATTTCGTATATTGTCGTGTACATAACTCTGTGTCGGTGTCCATGTGCCTGTGTGTTTGACTATCTGGCCCCAATCAACGCAGGTGCTAAGTTGGGGGTTTGCTGGACATTTAGAGAGATCTCTGTTCTTGGTCGGACCTATAACACACATATAGACTTCTTTATTTGTATAGTAGGCCTGTTGGTTGCCACAAGAGATGATTTTGCATAGGTCAAACTGATATGTGGTGGTACTGCCTGCTTCATGAGTGATAATCAGACCCTGTGAGGTGTGTGTGTGTTCTGTTTTTAGGCTGCGAGTAGGTCTGTTCTGAGGGCCGTTAGAAGGGTGTAAATACCAGGTTAGTAGAACCACAATTATGGCGATCAGGGTGAAGAAGAAACACATGATGGATTTGTAGTGAACTAAGCCTCAGGTCAAAACCTGACGCTGAGGGCCTTCCTGGGACAGGAACTGTTATCTCATTGATTTGAGTCCAGAAATACAAATTAAGCTCATCCAGAGACTTTCTAAGTGTGTCCTACACTAATCAATTGAAAGAACACTCTCTTTTTATTATCATTACTATTTTACAATATCTTGATAATCAAAGTGTGTTTAGTTCAAACCATTTTAAATGTTGAAGTGAACTACTCACTTTAAATCAACTGTGAAACAGTATTAATGATTTTTAATCCTCATTCAAAGTACAAATCAAGTTAGATGTCTGTTACAAAGTAATTATGCATTTTTTGATCTTCTGTCTGAAATGAGCAAGTTGTGATGTCGGTCAAAAGTCAAGGAACGGTCAAAAACATGTTTATCGGAACGAAATGTCATGTTTAACTCTCTCAGACAGATAGAAGGAAGACTGGCTCCTAAATGTCTCTGTTTCTTCAAAACATCTTTCTGTCTGTTCTTAAAACATCTACTCTGTCTCCTTGACATGTAGTGACCCTCTTACGTCACTAAAACCACA